TGATTTACCAAAAGAGATAAACCAACTGGAAGTGCAATATGCCTGTAAAAAACTAGGTGAATTGAAAGAAATACAAATCAAAAGAAGCTTCTCCAAAGCGTTAGCAATAATAAAGCTGCAGAAAAAACTAAACAAAGCAGTTCTTTGGGTGATCCCAATTGGTGACAAAAAGCTAGCAAGAGTTACAGAAGGCATAGAAGACTTCAAAAAGAGAAACAGTCAGAGTAATATAATAGCAAAATTAAAAGGTATACCAAAAGGTGTATCAGAAGTACTAATATTTAACAACCTAAGAAACAGAGGAGCCAAGTCAGTCTACATACTACAAAACAGTAATGGCAGACAAAGAGTATTAGCAATCGTAGCTTTCGAATATAAAGAAGGCAGAGATCAAGCAATATCAAAGTCAGTAAAATATAATAATTGGCTACTAGAGTGAGAAGCTCCATAAACAAGAAAGAAGAATAAAACAAATGAAAAAGAAGAACTATACCAAAGAAAAAGAGAAGAAGGAGAGAAAAACGAAACAGGTGTCAGAAACAACTCAAGAAATAGCAAGAAACAAAAATTAAGAGAAAACTACTATAAGGAAACCACAAGAGAAAAAAGAACAAGGACATCAAAAGCAGATCGCAATACAGAAGAAGAATTTTCGAAAAAAGGAAGTTTAGAAAAAACTTTAGTAGAGATCTTGAGAAAATTGAAAAACCTAAAGCGGAACTCAAAAAGCAAAAAGAGGGTCACGAGACACTCCTGAAAGGTGATATAGTTGAATTAAAGAAAGGGCTGCAGAGAGAAAAACAGTCCAAAAAATGATAAAGGGACGAGGTGGAAAGAATATTTCGACACAAAGAGTTCCTAAGAATTTTAATATATTAACAATAGGTTTTTGCAATATCAATGGCTTAAAGGCTAATAGAGGAAAATTAAAAAACATTTTAGATTATATAGAAGAAAAAGATATCAATATTATGAGAATAGGAAAGACAAATATATCAGAAAAAGAAGGGAGATTTGTTACTAAGAAAAATAACAATTATAGCAGCTTTTGGGTATCAGCAGACGAAAATAAGAAAAAAGTGTCAGGAGTTGGTATAATATTAAAGTGCACTTGGGAGAAACATATAGCACAAGTCAACAAATATAGCCCATATCTGTTAGAATTGACATTGCACTTCAAAAGACTATGCATTATACTAGTAGCAGTATATATTGTACCAGAGAACACAGAAGTATAAAAAAACATCCAGAAATATCTTAAAGAACAAAAGGAGAAAAAGAAAGAAAGACACTAGCAATATATTATCATGGGAGATTTCAATATGAACTTAAACAATAGTCTAACAAAGATCTCAAATAGAAGAAAAGACAAAAAGATACAGATCATGAGTACACTAATAGAGAGAAACTTGGTAGATGTTTTTAAGAAATCAAACCCGCTAGATGCTAAATATACATGGAAAAGCAGAGAGATCAAAACCAGAATAGATACAATATAGACAGACAAAAAGTGAAAAAAAAACTTAATCTGAAAAGAAACAGCAGAAGCTGACTTTGTTATAGCAAGCGACCATTGTATTATCTGGTGCAGATTAATCATAGGCCTCTATATGTGATATAGAAATGCTGCAAATACAAGAAGATTAAACAAGAAAAGAGTTAATATAGACATCAAAAATATAAATAAAGAAGACTGGAAGGAGTATAAAACAAAATTAGATAAGGAAATCATCAAGAAAATAGAGGAAATGAAGAAAGAAGAAAAGAAGAATCAAGAGAAGACAAACTTAAGAACAATGAATCAATAATATTTAGAAAGTCTTGAAAGAAAGCAAATAGAAGACTTATGGAACATCATAGAGTTGAGTATTAGAAAAGCTACAAGTGCAACCCTTCTAAAGAAAAAGAAAATATCAGAAATTAAAGAAAGAGGTTCTATATCAAAAGTCTTAACGAAACAAAGAAAGAATATACAAAAGCTTGAAAACAAGTATAGTAAGTTCAAACATAACAGGAAACTAGAAAAAGATAAAATTTGCATAAAGAAAGCTCAAGACCTGTTAGATGAGATATAAAAAAGATAGAAAATAGAAAGATCCAGTAATAATATAGAAGCCTCAGAGAGCTGAAAAGAAAAACAAGAAACACTCACCTATGAAGAAATGGAAAATATTATACAAAGATTAGAAGTGAAGAAGAGAAAAGGCAGAAGAAGAAGAGATTCAAAAATGCATAGAAGCAAGATACAGCATGATTTTCTCAGACCAGAGGAAAATGATTAATAGTCTTTTCGAAAAGCTACATAGAAGTATTAAAATAGATCGCATACTTAAAGAAGAAAATGGGAGGGTAGAACTTCTAACAGAAAAGAAAGAAGTTTTGGAGGAAGTAAAATCTCACTTTGAGAAACAGTTCTGAGAAAAAAAAGTGGATCTTAAAAGAATAAACAGAAGATGGAAAAGAATATACAGACCAGCAGAAGAAATCAACATAGAAGACTATAAAGATCTAGAGCAGAAAGTAACTGATACAGAGTTATACAATTACTATAGTGACTATAATCTTGCCCAGACAGCTTTAACTTTATATATATTCGGTCTCGCTTGGCACAGTCAACTCTTTCCTTTACTCACAAACTCCAGGATAATGCACATAAGTATTTTCTTATATTGAAATACCCCTTTTATTTTTCTTTCGTCAAGAGACTAACTTTCGCTCTTTATTTTTATTTTCTATTTATATTAATTTTCCATTATACTACTTTGTACTACCTTGATTATTAATTTACTTTGATTCACCTTATACTTTACATTCGCTATTTACATATAAATTTCTATTGCATACCTTGTGCAACCCTTAAACTATCTCATGCACTATTAATTTAATAAACTTTTTTAATTATGCCTAATTTGTCGTTATTATTATACATCTAACGATCACGGTATCTAATGTACCCGATCTCACTAATACCGCCTGACACTATGATCTTCCATATGGTCCCGATCGATCATATGATCACATGAGTTGTTCGAACCATATTCCTGTCACACTTTTCCACTTGTGGATTCACAGTGCATTTTGCTATCAATCTGCATCCCTTTTACTAAATACAAAGGCTCTTTGAAAACTATGCGACAGTAACACCAGAGAAATGGGAAGAAGCTCTTAGAAATACAAAAAACAAATCAGCACCAGGGTCAACAGAAATCTTATATCCTCTGCTTAAAGAAGCAGGAAAAGAAGCAAAAGTACTTTTTAGAACATTGGTGAGCAAGTGCTTAATATTAGGTGTAATGCCCAAAAAATAGAAATTAGGCATGCTATATCCAATTCCTAAAAGAGAAGATTGGTGTTATAATCTGAACAATATGAGACCCATCCTGCTTCTAGAAACATTTTGTAAAACAGTAGTTAGAGTTTTGAATACAAGACTGAGTCAAATTCTAAAAAACAAAGGAATATTAAAGGGAAGAAATTTTGCAGACCTACCAGAAGAAGGAACCACAGCACCAATATATCTAATCAACTGTTTGCTAGAAGATGCAAGGGAACAGAAAAAAGAAATATGATTACTTTTCCAGAATATGAAGAAGGCCTTTGACTCAGTCAGTATAAAGATGCTAGATTTAGCATTAGAAAGAATCAAGTTGCTACAAGCCACAAAGAATTTCATCTTACAGCTCTACTGTAAAAAAGAAATGGAAGTAATAACAAGCATAGGAAATACAGAGACATTTATTACAAAAGATGGCATAAACCAAGGGGAGGTCATCTCACCTTTAGTATAGAGGATTTTCTATGATCCATTACTAGTAGCGATCCAGAAGCAGAAAAAAGCAGAACACCGAATAGTAGTAAAGTGGCCCAAGAATATTAGAAGCAATACGATTCAACAAGAGAGTTTGAAGATAGAGGTAATAGTATACGCAGATAATACTATATATATAGCAAGTACTAAAAAAGACTTGGAAAAAATGATAGAAATCACAGAAAAGTTCTATAAAATTAATAATATAAAGATAAATCTAAAAAAGTCAGAATTGCTAGTTATAAAGCTAGGAAAAGAATATAAGAAAAGTGTTGAAAAGATTAACTTTGGCCCAAATAAAAAAGTGGTAATAGAAAAAAGAGAAAAGGATCTTACTCGCTTTTTGAGAATATAGCTGGCAGCCAAGAATGAATTCAAGCAAATTGAAGACATCATCAAGAATGAAGTATATACAGTAACAAAGCAAATTAGAAGAAAGAAGGCCTCTCTTACACATATAGTGTATATAAACAATATGGTTCTTTTACTAAGAATAAAATTTAGAGCATAGCTAAAAATCCTACCAAAGCAATGATGTGATCAACTTCAAAGTTCAATACTGAAGCTAATTAAAAACAAAGCCAGAATGCCAAGTACTACGCTGAATGCACTGGTAATGCACAAAAAAATAGTAGATTTGCAATCTATATAGCAATGACAAGTTGCATACCACTTTACAAAGTTGCTCATTCGTTTAAACAATAAACAAGAAGTAGGAATAGCTACATAGCTGCGGCTTAAGAAAGCACAAATTGATCTAAGAAGCTACAAGTGTGTTTTAGAGCTAAACGGAAACAATTTAAACGAACTTAAATTACAAAACAATTTAAATGTACAGGTATTAAAAGAGGCCAAAAAATTAAATATCTCATTTCGCTCAGAAGAGATTGAAAAGAACCTCAAGTTGACAGAGGAAGGGACCGAGTTAGTAAGCATTCTGAAAGAGGAAGACAAACAAAAATTCCTCTAATATAAAAACTACAATATTTTCATTCTAGAGCAGCTGCTTAATAGCAGTGGCACAAAGATGATCACATGGAAACAAATAAAGATGTGTAGAGGAACAAAAACAAAAGAAAAGAAGGCAAAGTGGTTCTAAGAGTTAGAAGATGAAGTAATTGAACATAAAAGAACAAGAACAATTAAAAGAAAAAACCACAAACTATTAACCTAAAAAAAAAAAAAAGTTAATAACACAACTCAACAGCACGGATTAAGCAACAAAGTAAAAAACCAAAAAAGCGTCAAATAAACTGCATTACAAGCTAATTAAACTAACAGAAATACCAAAAACTACACCAGGGGCAACATCAAATGACACCAAGGACGACACCGAAGACACCAAAGACACCAGCAACAATGCGACGACACCAGCGACGATACAGACAACACTAGTGAAGACAACAGCGACGACGCGACAACACCAGCAATGGCACGGCCTGAAAAAAAAATAAGTCAAAACAGAAAAATGCAAACAGAAAAAAATTACACCTGATCATTGTTTATATATTCCGTGATCAGGCAGTGTGGGTACACAAAATTAAATTTTTTTATTATATCAAAAGATAGCACTATAGTGCTATAGCACTATAATGCTATAGCACTACAACAATATTTCCATTCTAATATATTCGAATATATTTAGATAAATGATTTAATAAAATAATATATTTACAATAAACTTTGAATACATAGAAACTTTGATTATATATAAACTTTGATTATATAGAATAAAAATGCTTCAGAGGAATCTTAAAAATTAAAAAATTATAAATAAGTGAATTTTCCTTTATATTATTTTCATAAACATTTTTTTCAAATTCATTTCTTTCATCAAATCTTCACTTTTTACAATTTACATAATCTTTTAAATCAATTCACTAACTTTTAAAATTACACATAATCATTCATATCATATTTCATCTTTTATGCTTTCTCTCTTCTCATATTTCATCTTTTATGCTTTTTCTTTTCTTATATTTCATCTTTTACACTTTTACAATTTTCCTTTTTTCTCATATTACTTCTTTTATACTTTCACCTTTTCCTTACTTCTCTTATTCTTTATTTACTCCTTTATTCTTTTCCTTACTTCTCATATTTTCAATTTCACTTAATTAAATTTACACACCCTTCTATTAATTTCATTAAATTCGCATTAATTTGAAATATTATCAAAAGTTTCTCCTTTAAATTATATTCTATTAGTAAATAAACATGCCTAAATATGCCAAAAAAGTTCAAAAAACCAGAAATATTTTGCCAGCATTTTAGCCAGTACTGCTCGACATGTTTCTGCAAGAACAAGTAATACTAAGGAAACGATACTACTACTTTAAAGCAGCCCATTCTGCCTCAAGCCAAACCTGATTTAAGAATTCCCAATAGTATTTCTCACTTTTATAATTTTGTTAATAATTTAATAAAATAATTTAATTTTTTATCTTATTTTAGAAAATACTCTTTCGAGTATTTTGGCTTCGTTAAAAGAAAATAACACATTATTAAAAGAACTTTCTGAAAAGGTCAATAGAATCGAAAGGTGATTAGATCAAATTGAAGATAGGTATTCAAAAAGTTTTAATCTTGCTTACAAAAATAGCTTTATAAAGGTATTTTTGTTATTTTTTGTTTTAATTTTAATAAAAATTATAATATTTTTAAATATATTCGGATATTTGATATAAGATTTAATAATAATAAATTTCTAATAATAATTTAAATTTTATTAATAGCTAACAGTTAAAGAAATGGCCAAAACATTAATTGAAGATTTTATATATCCATCTGACGAAGAATTACTTGATGCAACTGAATATTACTTATCAAGAAATCAAACTGAATTTTTTAAAAACATGAATGAAGCGAAATAGAAAACATATTATGCTAAGTCAATCAAAGAGCCAGTAAATTTTTTTTAATTTTTGAATAATATCAAATTTTCTAATTAATTCGAATATATTTAAATTAATTAGAATTAATTTATAAAAATATAAAATATTTAAAAAATATTTTCATTGTCTAATTTTATTATAAATTATAGCTATTAAGACAATTTAGAACATATCAAAGTGCATTAACAACAAAGATTAAAGATACTATGTTTTCCGTTTTTGGTATAAGCCAATTAGATTCTATTAATGCAAATTTTTCTCTTGCGAATGTTGCGACATGGAAAGCTTCTGATAAGACAAAAAATTGTTATAGGAAGCTTTTCACTAAAATTGATCCTAAAGATACCGAATCTCCTTCTTTTATAAAAAAATTATAGAAAAACTTTGGCCTGGTGCTGAAACAACTGCAATTCAGACAGCATATGTAATTACTATATGCAAAATAATGCTCAGCTCGCATTATAACAAAATAACTCTATTAAAGCAATTAGATAAAAGTCATCTTAATAAAAATCTTGAAAGTAAAATTTAAATAATAAGTTATAATTTTTATAATTTTAAAATATTTAAAATAATTTGAATTAATTCTAATAAATTAAAAAAAATTAAATAATAATTCTAACCTATACTAATTTTTTTTTTTTTTTTTTTTTGAATTTGCTGTATACATGATAAGATTAGTTATAGATTTATATCAAGATGATACTAATTTAAACTATCTATTGTATCTTGTATAACCACCTGAGAGT